GTTACGGAAAATCGATTAACAACGGTGACGTAACAAATTGGTGTCAGAGAGTGGGACAAAAGAAAAAAAAAATGGAAACCAGAAGCGGCAAATCAAACTACAGCATAGCAGACTTGATGGCTGCAATACAAGAGCAGCAAAAGAAACAAGAAGAACGAGAAAATGAACGTAAAAAGAAACAAGAAGAACGAGAAATTAAACAAGAAGAGAGATTACAGCAGTTGTTAGAGGAAAAAGAAAAGAAACAAGAAGAACGAGAAATTAAACAAGAAGAGAGATTACAGCAGTTTTTCTTTTTCCTCTAACAGAAACAAGAAGAGAAATTACAGCAGTTGTTGGAGGAAAAAGAAAATAAACAAGAAGAACGAGAAAAGAAACAACTGTTGCAGGTTTTCTTGCAACTGTTGTTGTCTCTCTTCTTGTTTCTTTTCTTTTTCCTCTAACAACTGCTGTAATTTCTCTTCTTGTTTCTTTTCTTTTTCCTCCTAACAACTGCTGTAATCTCTCTTCTTGTTTAATTTCTCGTTCTTCTTGTTTCTTTTCTTGTTCGAGCTGCCATTGTTGCAGGTTTTCTTGCAACTGCTGTTGTCTCTCTTCTGGCAGCTCGAACAGCCTTCTTGTTTATTTTTTCTTTTCTCGATCCGTGCTTTCCACAGTTCCAACAACCTTTCTGGGTAGCAGCCTTTACTGCTGTATCGTCTCCCCTGTGTTGAAGTTGCCAGCATTGAGCTCTCTTTTTGTGGGATTATACAACCATACCTTTTCTCCGGGTAGAAAGCTGACTTCAGTAGATCTCTTATCATAAGTTAACTTCATCGAATCAGCAGACGTTTTCAAGTTTGAACGCACTTGATGGTGAATATCATCCAATAACACTTTCACAAACTCTGACACATTCTCGGGCAACTCTTCATAAGTTGGGCGTCCCTTATGCTTGGGTCCCCTTTTAGCACAACATGTACTGCATGTCCTGCACCATTCTTCCACATCTCGCCTCATACCTATCCAGTAAAATCTTTGTCGTATGTGACTCAATGTTTTCTTAATTCCGAGATGTCCTCCTGTTAAATTATCATAGGATTGACGCATCACAACTTCCCGTAACTTCCTTGGTATAACTGTTTGCCAAGTCGTCACTTTCCCATCTGTAGTTTCTCATCTCCGTACAAGAATACCATCTTGAAGCTTTAACTGGTCCCATTGCACCCAATAGTGCTTTGTCACAGGTTTTAGACTAGACACCTTCTCCCAAGCAGGGCGCAAAACATTTGCTTTTAGAAAAATCAATCATTGGCTTCAAATCTAGGTCTTTCTCCTGTTCTGCCCTGATATCTATATTTGGTTCCACTTCACCATCATCAACTTCTTCAGTCACTTTGACTTCACCTTGATGACACCTAATTAGTTCAACCTCTCTTTCAACAGTTACCAGAACTTTGCCTTTGTTGTTCCCACACATCATTTTATCAAAATCAATTACAAACTTTCTCGGTAGTAAATAGTCCAATCCTAAGATGCATTCATCTTCAATGTCAGCCAAGTATACTTCCTGTGTGTCCTTTATGCCCATGAGCTCAATAGTTACCCACACTGGTCCCCACAATCTTGTAGAATGTCCTGTCACACCATAAAGCTTCTGTATGGCTTCTGGTACTCCTTCGTGATTTAACACCTTGATGCTCACAAGGGTTTGCTGAGATGCAGAATCTATGACAAAGTTGCACCTTTGGCCATCCAGCTTCCCTGTCACGTAGATACTATGTGTGCTTGGCATTTTACACCTAGCTGTTGGGACTTTCATGATGGGGGTTGGTGGGCGTCGCTCAACACCAATCACTACTGGTCTCCTTGAGGCCGACTTCTTGGTAATATTCTTCCTACACTGGCTCCTCAAATAGGAAGACCAAAGAGAAGTATCCTAAGTTGTCTTCTCCATGGGAAGGCCCATATGACATAGTGGATCGTCTCTCAGACGTGACTTTCCAGATAAAATGTGGTCTGCGAGGTAAGCCAAACGTGGTGCATGCCAACAGGCTTTGGCGTTGTCACGGTCCAGGACATTTCAGTTGGAATGAAGTGGACAACAGAACAAATGACGCTGCTGAGGATGTGCCACATGAAGAAGCCACCGTCGAAGAAGAAACTCTACTCAGTTTGAGAAGGGAAACGATGAAGCTCTTGATGAAGTTAATACCACTGATGTGACTGTTACCGATAATAGGACATTTACTGATGAAGCAGATGAACCCCACATGAAGCAGAAGCCAACGAGACTGAGACCAGTACAGAAGAAGATACGTCCCGTAAAATTAAGAGACCTTGTTGAATTGTAATTTTTTTATTGTAATTCTGTACATTTAATTAAGTTATTGTTAACTTAATTAATTAGGTGTCAAGGTACAAATATTGGTTTATTGTATGTGGTTATTGTTCTGGACGAACAATATTAAGGAGGGGCAGTGTTGCGTCAGCGAGGTCACGTGACTAGTGTCACGCCCCCTGCTTTCTGGAAATATCTTGTACCTTCGTGAATTGTCGGGAGATTACTAGATATAGGGTAGTCTGGTATATATAAGAGGGTGACAACGTGACGGAACAATAATGTGTGTGTAGACAGTGAGTAATTGATCTGCAGTCAGCGAGTATTATTGAAGTTGAGCACGTTCGTCGTTATAGCGTTTGTTTTAGCGCGATTGTTGAAATTAAGTGTATCGTAAAGTTATATTCGGAAAGAATAAACCAGTTTTATTAAGTAAGGACTTGTGTCGCTATAGTTTCGACGGAACGAATTTACGGAAAATCAATTAACAAACGGAGACGTAACATTATGGTATGGAGGTTCAATAGGTCCATGCGGGGGTACATACAAATTTTCAATGGCCCGGCATGGCCAGGTGGTTGGGGCGCCCGACTCGCAGTCTGAAGGTCGCGGGTTCGAGTCCCCGTCACACCAAACATGCTCGCCCTTTCAGCCGTGGGGGCGTTATAATATGACGGTCAATCCCACTATTCGTTGATAAAAGAGTAGCCTATATTTGGCGATTGGTGGTGATGACTAGCTGCGTTCCCTCTAGTCTTACACTGCTAAATTAGGGACGGCTAGCGCAGATAGCCCTCGTGTAGCTTTGAGCGAAATTCAAAATAAACAATAAACAAACAAACAAATTTTCAGTTTTGTATTTTGCGTTTTGCAGTTTTTATGGGCGTTTTTACCACTACCTCACCTCCTGTCGATGGATTTTCACAAAATTTGGTGTGAAGGTTCATGGGGTCCATCGAAAGATGCATAAGAATTTTCAGTTTTGCATTTTGCGGGTTTATGGTTGTTTTTGCGTCTTTTACCACCACTTCGCCCCTGTAAATGGATCTTCACCAAATTTGGCATTAAGGTTTGTTGGGCCCATGGGGAGATACATGCAAAGTTACAGTTTCACATTTTATATTTTGCAGTTTTTATGGTCGTTTTTTGCAATTACGTATAAGGGAAGCAACTTTTCATGCCCAAAGATAACCTTTCATTAATCATTAATTTACATAACTTAGGGGACGGGTACTCCAGCTAGCTAACTATAATTTCAAAAATAATAAATGCAACTTCTGTTTCAATAACCAAGTATTATTATTATTATTAAATATATTTTTGGAACGTACTAAAACTTCACATTTTCTCAAACAATGAGAGATGGTCCCATGATTATAAAGCTTTAAAGTATATTTTGTCCGTTGCGTGGTGCTACAAGCAAACGAATCGAGATGGTTTTTATAAGTCAGAGTGAATGTAAAATATTGAGGTTATAGGCTGTGTGTTGAATAGTTTAGCGAATTTTAAAATAATATGTACAATTTGGAAAGTAATATATATATTTATTTGTATCTGAAAACAGCATAAGTTGCTATATTAGGGAACACATACTTCAAATTAACCTTACTACTTGGTTTCTGCTACCCCTATCGCTGCTATACTTTGATAAGATTAATAGCAATAATAAGTAATAGTGACTAATACTAGTAGTAGTAATACTAATACCACTACCATGTCGTCTGGCAGAAACTGAGGAGTGGCAGTTCTACACTAGTACTAGGAGATTACTACTTTTTCAAAATTTTGTGACATTAAAACTGACAGTAACACTAGTAGTAGTAACTGGCACTTACGCCTTTAAGTTTAATTTTAAAAAATGGATACAACACCAAATGCTAGCCCATCTCGCTTATCACCATTGCAAGAAACTGTTTATGGAACAAATGATGACACTGGTTTTGTAATGTCTGAAAAAGTTCAAAATCTGGCCGGAAGAATATATCAAGAATTTGAAAAAATGATCGCAAAGTATGATGAAGATGTAGTGAAAGAGTTAATGCCACTGGTGGTAAATGTTTTGGAAAATCTTGATCTTTCTTGCATGGAAAGCCAAGAACATGAGGTAGAACTGGAATTATTAAGGGAAGATAACGAACAACTTGTAACACAGTACGAACGTGAGAAACAGTTAAGGAAACATTCTGATCAGGTAGGTGGCCATAAGTAAGTAAGTTTCACTTATGAACAGAATTATAGGCTCGTGTAATTGTGTTCTAACTGATAGTGATAAGGCTGGTGGAACATAACTAATTTCAGTAAGTGAAGATTTTCTTTCTCCCTTCCTGATAGCCCATTGTGTAGCTTTGAGCTTTACAACAAATAAAATCCCATGTTTATCTATTTGTTCTAATTGATGATTGTTGGGTGAATAAAATATTCACTTGTTATGCACTTCCTAAATTTATATATATATATATATATCTAGGAATTGCATAAGTGTAAACACACCTCTATATGAACATACTAAACATGTTAATTTTTCTCTGTGGGTAGAACTGATATTAAAAAAAAATCATTGTTGTAATCAAGAACCATAGTATGGGTTCATAATAAGGACTGCCCATTTCTTCTTTTTTTTTATTATTATTTAATATTGTTCCACCAGCCTACAGCAAAAATGGCTATGAGTATTGTAATAAAACCTGGATAATATTACTAAATGCATCATTTCACGTTGTGTAGGGTAGTTTTACGTTTATTTGACTACCTGGCAAATAACAATGGCTGTATAACCATTGACACCCAATCATTTTAATGTAGCCTCTCATTTATATAGCCTCACAATCTACTACATGCATACATATATAGCTGTGTGCAGGCTGTGGATGTAATTTAATGTTTATATGGCAGGTATGACACATGTACCATAGCAATTATTAACTTATTATTGCAACTGTATGAATTTCGTGTATAGTTTGTTTATGTCTAAGGTTCCTACACTTTCAAACACGACGCTGTTGACAGGATCACAGTTTTTTCTTACTACTGCATGATCGATTTTGGTTATGTTACACAAAGTCTAGGTTGTCTCTCATGACAAAAATCTCTAAGCCTTAGTGTAAAAGATAGCACCAAACTCAGTTTCTAGCATTGGATTGGCAATCACAATGATGGCTGATGGTATGTGTCAAATTATAGATAACAATGTATAAATGCAAATTTTATAGATACTGCAACTAGAGTAGCCACCCTTGAAGCTGACTGTAAGGAGTGACAAGAATTGTGCAAGCAGGAGATAGTGAATCTAGGTGGAAGTGAGGCAGAAATGTTGTAGCTATATATTTTATTTTGAAACTATTTAGTTATGCAGCAATGACAACCCACCAGAGTTTAGGGTTGTCACAGTGGAAGACGGTCATAGAAATGTCATGACCCAAACTTCATCATAAATGGAGGGGGGTGAAGGTATATTAATATAATAAATTCATAATTTTGATTAACATGTTTTCGACCTTGTTGCAGAATGTTACTCTAACAGGAAATGTGGCTGCAACATAGTTGTGATCAGCCTTACTATGGCCAGTGGAGAGGAGGAGGAGGGAAATATAACAACTATAAGAAATATAAAAAATGCTTATTTTTATACATATGCTATTATATTATGACACATTGTCCTATATTTACATTGAATATATATGCATGCATCTATACAACTTGAAAAATTCATATGGCTATTATTTATATATATATATATATATGGCTTTATAACTTAAAAAACTAAAGGCTGCATGTATATACATAGATATAAATACCAGCCAACATGCATTGCATGCATATTAAACTCATGTGGTTAGAAAATCCAATCCATGCACCAATCCAATGTTTACAGGGCCTGGCATGGTCAGGTGGTTAGGGATCTCAACTTGCAATCTGAGAGTCACGGTTTCGAATCCCCATCTCCCTCCCAAACGTGCTTGCCATTTCACCCATGAGGTGTTATAATGTGAAGGTCAGTCCCACTATTCCTTGATAAAAGATGTAGCCCAAGAGTTGGCAGTGGGTGGTGATGACTAGCTGCCTAACCTTTAGTCTTTCACTGCTAAATTAGGAATGGCTAGTGCAGATAGCCATCGTGTAGCTTTGAGCAAAATTCAAAACAAAACAAACAAATAACCTAGTGTTTACAGACTCCCCATATAGCTACAGGGTATAAATATAGTAGCTATATATATCTTTCAAGACATTTACATAACATGTGGTATGTTGATCACCATGCATCATAGTGATCATACATGCAGTACCACTATCAGTGATATCAGAAGCAGTAGATATCCATTCTTCATGAAGCCAAAACAAAGGTTTTTTTTATGATGGACATTAAAAAAATTAAAGAAACAAAATTGTTGAAAATTGTTAACTTAAAAAGTTGGAATAGGGATCTTCTAAGAATTACAGAAATAAGAGAGGTAGCTTAAAGTGAAAATGTATTCACAAAAAGTAAACTAACGAGCTTAAGGTTTGAGACTTAGTGTTGAAATTATTCCCTCCATGTCTAAAAGTTGTAATATATAGAGTCAAAATAGGGACATGTGACTTGAGGAAATAATGTCAATACTATGTCTCAAACCTTAAGTTTGTTTGTTTACTTTTTTTTTTGCAGTTGCATTTTCACTTTAAGCTACCTATCTTGTTTCTGTAAATTTTTTAAGATCCGTATTCTCTCTTTTTAAGCTGATAATTTTTTAATAATCTTGTACATTATTGTACATTGGTCAACTTTTATATTTTTCAAATGTTTTCTTGGACATGCACCTTCTACCTCTAAGGCATGTTATTCTTATTTCAAAAGAAAATTTTGCCCAATTTATTAAATCAAATAATAAAATTTTATTTATTAATTTTTTTATAATATTGCTTATTGATGAATTATAACTGTATTATAGTTTCCTTGGATAACATATTTGCTTGTTATTTACTTATATCCTGTATTAGATTTAAACCTTACATTATTTGACATTGTACCCTGTGTATGCGTTGTAAAAGCATAATTCTTTTGTTGATGGGTTCTTTTAAATTATCTTTTGTAACATACAGTCCACATGACATAACTGTAATAAATTACTTTATTTCATTTTTTAAAGCTTCTACAAACTTCAATGCTTGTATACTGTCATAAATTACTGTAGGCCTAAGAGTATTCATTACAAATATTATTAACAAGTGTAATATAAATCAATTGTATAAAGTAACTGTGATAGCTAACACACTGAATGGATCACTTTTTTATCTCCATGAACTTCACTACCATCTTGTATTTATTAGCTAGCTTTCAATATACTAGACAAAAATGTGATGCTAACTCCTTATAACTTTCTAGGCATACTAAGCCCCTTAAATAACAAATTATAACTTTAAAAGTATAACTTACAGCAAGATTTACCTTACAAAACACTTAATGAAAATTGTAGTCTTTCATAACCATATACCTATACAACAAAAACATTAATAGGTTTAAACATGCATTGTTAAACAAACAATTTCAAAACAGAAATAATTTTGCTTAAAGATAATTCTAGATCTGGGCTATATTCGTAGTTGTACCTCGAGTATTCTAGCATACACTTCTAACAATTAAAGATCACCTATAGTTAAATTATTTTGTTTCTTAACAATTTTATAAACCTGAATAAAGTTTCCTTCACACACACAAAAAAAAATTCCTGAGCTTCCCCTCATAGTTTAAATTTCTTAAATAAAATGTTTTAATTTCACATCTCATTCTTTCTAGCTTATTGACAACTTTCCTGTAGCATTTGGAAACAGGGCTGCTGAATGACAGGCATATACAAAATTACAGGAGTTTTTTTTTCTTACCATTTAAAATGTCTATTTATAGGTTGTAGAACTGTTTTATGTATTTTTAACAAGTTGTTAGCCAGCATCTGAGGAAAAGGTGTCGAAGTTTTGGTCTAGCAGTGAAACCCTTGGAGATATGAATCCGTAACTTTATAAGACTCCAATCATCACAAAAACAATGTTTATTACTATCATTAATGTCAAAGTTTTCTATTTGCTATGTAGCTTTTCCATAAATTCTATCAGAATCTAACTTACTAATATACATTTTGGGCAGCATTTATCAAAGACTCGCAAGAAGTCAAGGCACTCTACATTTACTAGGGCATTGTCCTTCAGAATATGTCTAAAATCTTTTTATGCTAAATATATATCAGTAAATTCTTATAATAGAAGACCATTTAATATCAGTTTACTTGATACTTTAAGTTCTAGACAATATGTCAGAGGTTTTTATAAACATTACTGTACATTAATTTGATATATATATATAAGAAAGTTTTATTTTGTTAACATATAAGAAAGTTCACCTTCTTTTCAGCACAGACAACTCATTCTGTAAAATAGGTCAAGCCTTCAATAAAATCTGCTTCAAATATTGTTTATTGTAGTAGGCCAGTGCTCTTGGGTTTAGGTTAATTTATAAAATTTAGTCATTTATAAGCAAATCTATTGGTAATTTCATAAGTGACAGTTAATATAAGTGAGTTTAAAGAAGAACTTGATAACTATTTGAATGATAAAGGTTTGCTGTAAAGGTTTTAATTTTAAACTTGATGGATGGGATGGTCCAGATGGATTAACAGGTCTCTTGTTGTCCTTGTATTGGGAAAAGGATCATTTATTGAGAATCTACTTTATATGATAGTTTCAGTGGATAATAGTCTTGATGAATAAAAGTTTTAATTAATATAGTAGTATAAGTTAAGATGTATTTCATCAACAAGGTATTTAAAATGTAGCAGATTCATAATGCTTGATATCTGAGAATTAAAAAAATTACTGAGTATATTTTGGAATATTGGGTTAGCTAAAGTTTAGATGTAGGAAAGTGTGAGAAATCAGGTTAGCTTCCAGAAGTGCTACTAAATATTTAGTTGAATGCAGTATAATTGGGGAAATGTTTGAGTACAGGAAAATTATACATGGGTCATTAAACATAAGTTTCTTACCAACACAAAGATATACCTAGAGTTACTCATGGTCTAAAGTAGGTTAATAAAGACTTAAGTAGCATATGCACACTCATTTCCTGTTACGGCATTCGAAACATTTGGTTCACCGACCTGTTTCACAGTTGGAGCAACAATGCATAAAGTTGTCTAGTTAGCTTCAGTCATACTTGAAACTCATGAAGTGTTGTATGTTTCTGTCTATCTTTATGTAATTAAAATAATTTTGGACTTTTTTTTGGTATGAGGTAGTACTTTGTGTTGTACAAGAGAGAGAAATGAACCATAAACATGATGAAATTGGTTTCAGTTTGGAGGAACTTAAAGGCTTTTCATGTAATTTCTTCACTTCTACAATCATTGTATATTGAAACAAAAACATTTGGCTTGTCCTTGAAATACTTGGTACCTGGGTTTTACAACACAATATTTACCTGATTACAATTAGTATAATCTTGAAATTAGTAATTCTTCAAGTGAAGATTGTGTTCAGAAACAAACTGTTGATAACTAGAACAATCACACACACTTTCAGGAATAAAGCTGCTGAAAAAGCTATGTTTATTCTTAAAACAGGTATAACTAGAACACTATTTTACCAGACTGATTATTTCCAAAATCTAGAGATTTTACAGTTCACCCTGAAATTTCCAGTGATCACTATCCCTTTTCACTTACATTTCAATCAAACATATGGCACCAAACAGCAGACCTTCCACCAGTGTTTAACTACACAGATGCTGACTGGAAAGATTTCAACAAATGTGTTGATACACTCCTTTACAAAAAGCCATAAGAGTAGAAAACAAAACAATTAGATAACTGTGCAGACAAACTTAAACTAGCCATAACAAAAGCTACAGAAAAAGTAATTCCCACCTCCTCTAGGGACCATCGTAGCAATCACTGGAAACTCACATCAGAAATACATTCACTTATCTTAGAACTTAGACACCTTAGACGATTACCAATAAACATGTGGGATGCTTCCCTGAAACCTAAAATTAATAAAATACACGAACAAATAAAATGAAACATACAAATACTTAAAAAACTAATTGGTTCAACTTTTGCAGTAGCATTGATAATGCACATGATAATCCTAAAATTTTTTGGGAAAATTCATATCATTAATTTCTGAGAAAAACAATAAAAACATTTTCCACCACATTAAACACAACAACATTACAGCCAAAACAGACAGTGAGAAAGCACATTTTGAGCAGATTATTATCAGGAATTTTTTCAGGACTTCAACTCCCCAAGCTTTAACCAGAACACCTACAAAACTGTAGATAGATAACCATGTAGATTCACATCCAGATTTATATAATCCAAGGTTTCTAGCCAACAACTTAAACAATGATACACTTTTTAGCAGTGACGACAATCTGAATCGAAAAGTCTCTAGAGGTGGATTAAAGATTAATATATAAACCTTAAAGAACTCTGCTCCAGGGCTCTGTTTATTCTCAAAACATATATAATTAGAGCAGACACTGTTTTCAGGAATGAAACTGCTGGACAGGGCTCTGTTTATTCTCAAAACATGTATAATTAGAGTACATACTGTTTTCAGGAATAAAACTGCTGGACAGAGCTTTGTTTATTCTCAAAATGTGTGTAACTAGAGTATACACTTCTCAGGAATAAAACTGCTGGACAAGGCTCTGTTTATTCTCAAAACGTGTATATTAGAGCAGACATTGTTATTCAGGAATGAAAGTTCTGGACAGGGCTCTGTTTATTCTCAAAATGTGTATAATTAGAGTACACACTGTTTTCAGGAATAAAACTTCTGGGCAGAGCTCTATTTGTTCTCAAAACGTGTATAATTAGAGCACACACTGTTTTCAGGAATAAAACTGCTGGACAGAGCTCTGTTTATTCTCAAAATGTGTATAATTAGAGCACACACTGTTTTCATGAATAAAACTCCTGATTATTTTTATCTCTTCTTCATATTGACATTCAGATGCTATGACCTCCCCAATCTTGAGGCTCCTTTGTGTCCTGTAATTGTAATTCTTTCCTTTTTTTATATTGTTCCTATCCCTTGAATCTCTTCTTCTTTTTCTTTCTGTTATTTCAATTAATTTCATTTAAAATTGTGGGAGTTGTTTTTAGGGAGGTCATCATCCTGTGACATCTTCTGGACCTATCCTTCAGCTTTGGTTCTGTACTGATTAGCTGCAGTGGAATGTAACATTGAAATTTGGGATAATTGTAGAAGTTGTAACTGTATATTTAACTGTTTTATTGTAGTGTAATGTAACATTGAAGTATGGGATTACTGTGGAACATCAAACTGTATACTTAACAGTATTACTGTATTGTAATGTAACATTGAAGTATGGGATTACTGTAATTTATAATTTGTTTGAAATTTTTAGGTTATTGGAAAAATATAACAACAAATCTGATATAATGAATCTAAGTTTCAAATGGACAGCAACTGCCTGTTGTAGAAACCTACAAGTGTAGAGGACGACGTTTTTAAAGTCTTCTACTTAATTATAGTATTTTGGCACTTGTGTATAAAGTTAAAATCATAAATAATATTCAACATT